TCTGCTGTTTTCCTACAATCTCCTCTTTGCCCAGAAAGGACAGACAGGTTCTCCTATAATACAGCAGGATACAATTCATAGCATGGCTTAGCATGCTGCAGCACACAGAACCACAAAATCCAGAAGGTTTAGGGTGTGTTAAAAGCAGCTAGCTACAACTATCATTTCAGGGTTACCCCAGCTCAGCTCCCAGCCATATGCAGACATCTCCAGCTTGAGATAAGTGGTGCATTGAGCTCGAGTTAGCTGGCCTGTCAGAGTACATCTATAATATTGCCCAGATCAACAAGCCCTTGGGGATCATGCTACTGTGCTAAAAATAACAATGTGGCCATTGTGGCTTGGACTCTGAAGCCTAGAGAGGAAGGTGGGCTGCATGGCCTGAGTTTCAGCCCAAGTCACAATTTAAAATCACTGTTTTCTCAGGTGTTTTCAGTGTGGTAGCATGAGTCTAAGTCTGCTTGCTGCCCGCGGCCACCACTGGCTGCACAGACATACTCTCAGAAGGAGGGGTGGAGTTACTTGAGTGATGCTGGAGCTGGTAATGCAGCAGAGATAGCTCAGATTCCAGCAATTCGTCAGAAGTCAAGCCAATCACTCTGTATAACTCCAGGGTTGTTCTGAGGTGTGGTGGTTCTTACTGAAGCTAGACTAGGGCTTTGTCTATACTTGTAAGTTTAAAGCACCACCACAGCAGCACTTTAATGTGGCAGTGTGGTCATGAGTAGTCCTGGCAAAGAGCTCTCCCTGCTCTGTAGGAAAACCACCTCCATGAGGGGAGAAGCTAACAGCGCTGGGAACCTGTTTACACTGGCGCATTCCAATGATGCAACTCACTGCAATGTGGACAAGCCCTTTGAGTGCAGTGGTATTGACTCGAGCTAACTGACGCCACAAGAACAAAGCCTTAGTGCCACACAGGCACTTGTCTATGGTAACAAGTCTGTACCATACTAGTCTGCCACCCACTGTTCATGTGAACCCTAATGAAACACCCTAAGGCTATGTCTACACTGCAGGCTTCTTGTGCAAGAACTGTTTTGAGCAAGAGTTCTTGCACAAAAATTCTTGCGCAAGAGCGTGTCCACACTGCCATGTGCTTTTGCGTAAAAGCATCCATGGAAGTGTGGACGCGCTCTTGTGCAAGAAAGCTCTGATGGCCATTTTAGACATAGGCTACGTCTACACTGCAGGCTTTTTTGTGCAAGAACAGCCATTCTTGCGCAAAAACTTGCAGAGCGTCTACACTGCACACGTGTTCTTGCGCAAGTCAATTTACAGTAAAGCATCAGAACAGACGGCTTCTTGTGCAAGAGTTATTCCTCTCCCCATGAGGAATAAGCCCTCATGTGCAAGAGCTCTTGCACAAGAAGCAGTGTGGACAGGTTTCCACAAGAAACCCCTATGGCTAAAATGGCCATAAGAGCTTTTTTGTGCAAGAGAGAGTCCACACCGACATGGAGGCTCTTGCGCAAAAACACATGGCAGTGTGGACATGCAACAGGGGTTTCTTGTGCAAGAACTGTTTTGCGCAAAAGTTCTTGCACAAAAGGTCTTGCGCAAGAGCATGTCCACACTGCCTTCTTGCGCAAGAGCGTGTCCACACTGCCATGTGCTTTTGCGCAAGAGCCTCCATGTCGGTGTGGACTCTCTCTTGCACAAGAAGCCGTCTATTCTGATGCTTTACTGTAAATTGACTTGCGCAAGAACACGCATGTAGTATAGACGCTCTGCAAGTTTTTGTGCAAGAACAGCTCTTCTTGCGCAAGAAGCCTAAACAGTAGACATAGCCTTAAGTGTGCAACAGTGGGGTCCACATGGACAGATAGGGGATGTTTGCACTGGAATTAAATACTCATGACTGGCCCATGCCAGATGATTCGGTTTTGTGGGGCTGATGCTATGGAGCCCTTTAATTGCAGTATACATGTGGGCTACGTCTAGACTGGCCCCTATTCCGAAATAGCCATGCTAATTTCCAACTTTGGAATAGGGAAATCCGCGGGGGTTTAAATATACCCCGCGGGATTTAAATAAACATGTCCTCCGCTTTTTTTCTGGCTTGGGGAAAATAATAATACTTTCAGGTAGGAATAAGAGATCCTCCGGAAAAGGGCTTTATTCCGGAGGATTGCGCCAGTCTAGACGCTTTTTTCCGGCTTTTCCCCAAGCCGGAAAAAAAGCGGCGGACATGTTTATTTAAATCCCGCGGGGGATATTTAAACCCCCGCGGATTTCCCTATTCCAAAGTTGGAAATTAGCATGGCTATTTTGGAATAGGGGCCAGTCTAGACGTAGCCGTGTGGATTTAGGCTGGTGGTAGATGTTACACCTTGGTTCGGTGATGTGGTGGAAGCCTCAAGGGTTAAAGCCGATTACCTAGTGAAAACTACTGGATGATGGTGTAAAACAAATGATCTTTATTAAGTGGATTGATTCTTTTATCAAAACCAACAATTAGAAAATGGTGTTTTAAACTAGCAATTGCCTAATGCTTTTACAGGGTAGAAAACCTTAAACTTAGCTATACTTAACTAATTACAAACTTCTTTGATTACAATTCAACTATACCAAATTACTGTCTCTAATTTGCTTAAGGCAGCGCAGCATGCAAACAAAAAATACAAAAACAAAGCTAATATAATGATAATAAAAACTCTGTCAAAAGCCAGCCCCTCTATGGTTATTTTAGGGCAGCTGGTGGAGTTAGTCATAAATCTACTTTTACAACTTAACAACTCCTGGGCTTCTATTTCTAACACTTATACTTAGCTTAAATACAACACTACTACACAACACAAAATTATACAATTTACACAGTGTGGTTAACAGAACTTAGATACACTTTACAAAATTACACAGTGAAATTAACACAATTTAACTATTAATTAAACTAATAACCAATACATTTAAGCAATACTTACAAATCCAGCAACGATAACAACATGAAGACATACAAAGACTCGGAGCATGCTCAGGACTCGCGCACCCCTAACTTTGACTCGAAGGGTGGGGAAGGCAGCCTCAGGGTGATCAATCTTTCAGCTGGGCAAAAAAACCACGTGCCCTCAATACCCGGAACCTCCGTCGAACAAAGGGGTTGAGGGTCTTTTATAACATAACCTGACATCTGGTACCTTATTAGGGTCAGTTCCCTGGCCGGGCCTGATAGGCTGGTAATGAAGTAACGTGAAATACTGCCCTATAGGATTTTTCATGATGCCTGCCTGATGGCCTCGTGGACAGTGCTGGGTGTGGGCATGGTCAGTGTGCATGGCAGTTGCATCTTATCTCCCTATGCCTACCTCCCTCCCTTCAAGGACTGGTCAAGAGAGTCTTATTTATCTCGTGTAGCTGTGTTCTATTTTTTCATGCTCACCTCCCTGTTCTATGATGCCTACAAGGCCAAATTCCATTTACAGAAAGCTGTATTGTGCTTCCTATGCTTCTCTGAGTATCTCACAGTCTGGGTTTTCTGTGAGGGGCCTTGTGTGGCAGGATGGGCTATATGCGAAGGCCATGGACAGAAAAAGCCTGCTTTACAACAGTAGAATCCCAGCGTACGTCTAGACTACAGGCTTTTGTCGACAGAAGTTTTGTTGACAGATACTGTCGACAAAGCTTCTGTCAACAAAGAGCGTCTAGACTATATCCAGTTCTGTCGACAAAGCAAGCCGCTTTGTCGACATGACAGTGTAGATGCAAAGGACAGCGTAGATGCAAGAATGCCTTCTGTCAACAGAATTCTATAGACAAAAGGCATTATTCTTCATAGAATGAGGTTTACAACTGTCGACAAAACTGCTGAGTTCTGTCGATGTTATGTCGACAGAACTCAGTGGCAGTGTAGACGCAGGAATAGTTTTGTTGACAGAAGTCCACTTTTGTTGACAAAACCCTGTAGTCTAGACACAACACCAGAGAGAGGACAGGCTGCAACTGAAGCCAGAACATCCACATCACAATTAAGCAGTCCTGGAGCCCTGAGCCCCACAAGCCTGAACCATCTGTTATGGCCCAGTCAGAGGTGTCTAATTGCAGTATTGACAGACCCATAGTGCATGGCAGGTAAGAGTCACACCTCTGCTTGTAACAAACTAAATGTGGAGATAGACAAGCCTTAAAAACAGCAACAGTATGGACAGCAGTTCAAGTGTTATTTCACAGTGTTGTCACTGCATTCTGTCAAGCCAATCTAACTCAAGATAAGTAATTAAAAGGTAGATAAGTGTGTAGTCAATACAAAGTTAGCACTTCCTTTAAAAAGTAACATGATTTTAAAATCAATGCCCATTATATGCCTTCAGCTACACTGGCCTTTCTTTATTGTGGGCACTCAGTATTGTAGAAGGCAAAAGTGAGACATTATAGAGAAATACTGTAAATTCTTTCTGATATTGAAAGCTTATTTTCTTGGGGGAAAAAATCTATTGCAGTTCCTACTCATTGAGGCAGTCACTCAAAGCTGTTTAAACTTTATGGAATTGCTGTTTCACCAAAAGTGTAAAAGAAAGCGTTACATTTGTCCTTATTTCCAGGCCTCAAGGTTGCATGTTTGGATGATTTAATGGGAATTACAATGAGAAGTCCTGTGGCACATTAGAGACTAACAGATTTATTTTGCCTATGCAAGCTTATGCCCTAATAAATCTGCTAGTTTTTAAGGTGCCACAGGACTCCTCATTCTTTTTGCAGATACAGACTAACATGGCTACCCCACTGAGACTTAATTGGAATAGTTTGTCAATGGATGATCTATGTTTCAGTGGAACCGGCTTGAGCTTAAGCGGAGTGGGGGGCTAATCTTTTGGAATCTAATGAACAGCAGAATTCATTTTAGCCAGGTCTCTAATGAAAGGCCGACTGTTCAGTGATGAGTCCCACATGTGTTTATAAATGTTAACACTGTGCTAACCTCAGCCGGAGGAGGTACAGTTTAGGGAAGTTTAGTATAAGGAGCCTTGCTGTCAGCAGCAGAGACACATAAGAAGGGTTTTCAGGCTTGGCTACTCCAGTGCTGTACTGATTAAGCTAAGCTTTCCTTCAGTGGGGAAGTAGCCTGCTTTCCAAGCTGCAGAGCAGTGCGCATGAGCAGATGGAGTAGATATGACCAGTGCCCACTAGGCAACAGCTAAAACCGATGATGAATGTGCTGTGGCAGAATTGGTTTCACTGACAAACATGAAATGACTTAAAATCAACTCTATAAGTGAGCTCACGGACAAATGCATCGACTGCCTTTCTATTTTAAACTACCAGGGTGCAGCGTGACAACACCAGGTACTGAACTTGTCATTTTCTATGATCTACTGCAGCAAAATTTGTTGGGAAATATACAGGAAAATATTAAATGGTTGTTCCAAAAAGTTTGTTGTTTTCCTCAGTATAAAATAATTGGATCAAGTCTTTGAAAAAAATGTTTCTTATTACAGGAGTGACTACCATGCAGAAATATTTCTTGCCTGTGCTTATGCTGTATAAACTGGGAACAATCATTTGTATTTTGCATTCAGTACATTTTGCAAAGCAGTTGATTTGAAATGATAAGAAGGTTTTCTTTGTATGGACTCAAACTAAAATTAGAAATCTATGTGTTTTGTTAGTCTTTAAGGTGCTACTAGATTATTTGTTGGTTTTTAAAATTAGGAATGTTTTAACAAATTCAGTGGCATCAAATCAGACGATCAAATAAGAGAATTCTGTGAATAATACTGAACTATGTTCTACAGAATAGTGTCATCCTTAAGAAAAGGATTGTGCTCAAAAATACCTCGTGTAGAGGGTTGTGCTACGTTACATGAAGCTAGATGCTTTTGAATATTTTGAAAGAAGGATAGGGAGAAATTTTAGTGGCCCTGTCAGTATACATAAGAACAGCCATACTGGGTCAGAACAAAGGTCCATCTAGCTCAATAAATCCTTTCTTCCAACAGTGGCCAATGCCAGGTGCCACAGAGGAAATGAACAGAACAGGTAATCATCAAGTGATCCTTCCCCAGTCGTCCATTCCCAACTTTTGACAAACAGAGGCTAGGGACACCATTCCAGGCATTGATGGATTTATCCTCCATTAATTTATCTAGTTCTTTTTTGAATCCTGTTAAAGTCCTGGTCTTCACAACATCTTCTGGCAAGGAGTTCCATAGGTTGACTGTGTGCTGCATGAAGAAAAACTTCCTTTTGTTTGTTTTAAACCTGCTACCTATTAATTTCTTTTTGTGACCCCTAGTTCTTATATTATGGGAACAAGAAATACCTTTTCCTTATTTACTTTCTCCACATCAGTTATGATTTTATAGACCTCTATCATATTCCCCTCTTTTTTAAGCTGAAAAGTCCTAGTCTTAAGAATCTCTCTTCATATGGCAGCCTTTCCAAGCCTCTAATCATTTTGTTGCCCCTTTCTGAACTTTTTCCAATGCCAAGATATCTTTTTTGAGATGTGACAACCATATCTTCATGCAGTATTGAAGATGTGGGATTTATACAGAGGCAATAAAATATTCTCTTATTCTCTAGCCCTATTTTAATGATTCCTAATGTTCTATTTGCTTTTTTGACTTCTGCTGCACATTGAGTGGATGTTTTCAGAAAACTATGCACAATTACTTCAAGATCTCTCTCTTAAATTGTAGCAGCTAATTTAGTCCCCAACATTTTGTACATATAGCTGGGATTATGTTTTCCAATATGTATTACTTTTCATTTATGTACATTACAATTTATCTGCCATTTTGTTGGCCAGTCACCTTGTTTTTTGAGACTCTATAGAAGCTCTTCATAGTCTGCTTTGGAGTTAACTATCTTGAGCAGTTTTTTATCCTCTGCAAATTTTGCCTCCTCACTATTTTCCCCTTTCTGCAGATAATTTATGACTATTTTGAAAAGGATTGGTCCTAGTACAGATCTCTGTGGGACACCATTAGTTACCTTGTGCCATTCTGAAAACTGACCATTTATTCCTACCCTTTGTTTTTATCTTTTAACCAGTTATCATTCTATGGGAGGACCTTCCCTCTTATCCCATAACAGCTTACTTTGCTTAAGAGCCTTTAGTGAGAGTCCTTATCAAAGATTCCCTGAAATCTAAGTACACTATGTCCACTGGATCCTCCTTGTCCACATATTGTTGACCTCCTTACGGAATTATAATACATTAGTGAGGAATGATTTTATTACTAAATCTTTTTTGGTTAATAAAATATAAAAGGCCTCTTACTTATAACTATTTACATTACTAAAAATGGGGTAAGATACTATTTAGTTTTCATCAGTGTTTGTCTGTTTCAATTTAGCACAATTTGGATAACAAAAGGTCTGTCTAAGAGCAGTTGTGGGGTAGTGATTTGGGGGGGATGTTGGGAGTTAGAGGTTAGAGCAGTCCTGAAGTCTCCAAACTTGCTCATGGATCCTTGGCCTCAAAGCAACTGTTTAGGCAGCCAGGAATTGCCAGAACACAGGCATTCTAACCATAATCTCTTTCCCCTTCTACTGAGAGAAGGTGAAGTTAAATTAATTTAGTTAATTTTTGTCACAATATTGAAGGGGTTTTATTTCATAGGCATCTCCACAGAAAACTCCACCAAGTTTCCAGTCTTGTATTTTGAGTAAATGTGAGCCAGGTAAATTAAAAGGTCTGATACTGGAGGCCAATTCAGATCTGAATGACAGATAAGTGCACTATAACTGCAGCTAACTTTCAAAGTTAACCTGCGACTTCCTTTAACTTTGTTGGATGTTGAGATACAGTTAGATTCAAGACTGAGGCACAGGAGCCATAAGTGGCTTTTTAATGTTTTTCCTTCAGGTCCTTGAGGCACATGATATTAAAACACAGTGGCTACATCTACACTGCAGGCTTTTTGTGCAAGAACAACTGTTCTTGCGCAAAAACTTGCAGGGCGTCTACACTGCACACACGTTCTTGCGCAAGTAAATTTACAGTACAGCGTTGGAAAAAAGGCCTTCTTCCAGAAGAGTTATTCCTCTCCCCATGAGGAATAAGCCCTCTTGTACAAGAGCTCTTCCACAAGAAGGCAGTGTAGACAGGCAACATGAATTTCTTATGCAAGAAACCCCTATGGCTAAAATGGCCATCAGAGCTTTCTTGCGCAAGACAGCATCCACACTGCCATGGACGCTCTTGCACAAGAGCACATCTCTTGCTCAAAACCTCATGGCAGTGTGGACGCGTTCTTGTGGAAGACCTTTTGCATAAGAACTCTTCCACAAAACAGTTCTTGCGCAAGAAGCCTGCAGTGTAGATGTAGCCAGTGTGATTTAGTTATTAAGCAATCAAGCTGCTTTTATTACATTATTAACCAATTGTAGAATACTTGATCAATTATTTTGTGGTAAGAATTATATATATAAATGTAGCTCTTTAAGGAAATATTGATCATTAAATTGGCTCCTGAACCACTGATGTCTGAGTATCATTGACTTAGTACTTCTGCAATCAAGGCCATAAATCTTTGGCAAGAGAAGGGATTGGAAGGCAGCAAGAAGTTTTCACTCATCTTCATGTGGTTCATTATAGACCAATGCCAAGACCTAAATCTGGGTCTCCGCAGAGTAAGCAAGGGCAGTACCTGCAGCTAGGTACTTGTTAACAAAATAACTGTTTTTAGGATTTTTAGCCAACTTTGGGGAAGTTACTGCAAGGTTTTTGTATATGTAGGCCATGTACTATTGCCACATCCATTCTAAAATGCTAAATGTAAAAACTGCAGTCCTTTTTTCCCCTTGGGTATTTGGTATTGATGTTTTAGACCTAATTTGTGATGGCAAGAGTTAAAACCGGATCTAAGAAATATAATCAAGTATTACTAACAGGAGTGTTGTAAGCAAGACATGAGAAGTAATTCTTCCTCTCTACTCTGCGCTGATTAGGCCTCAAATGTAGCATTATATCCAGTTCTGAGCACCTCATTTCAGGAAAGATGTGGACAAACTGGAAAAGGTCCAGAGAAGAGCAACACAAATGATTAAAGACATAGGAAATATGACTATGAGGGAAGACTGAAAGAATTAGGGTTTGTTTGGTCTAGAAAAGAGAAGATTGAGAGGAGACAAGATGACAGATTTTAAGTACTTAAAAGGGTGTTACAAGGAGGAAGGGAAAAAATATTCTCTTTAACCTCTGATGATAAGACAAGAAGCAATGGGCTTAAATTGCAGCAAGGGAGCTTTAGGTGGGACTTTGGGAAAATCTTCCTTACAATCAGGAAATTTTTAAGAGCAGGTTAGGCAAACATCTATCAGGGATGATCTAGATCAATGTTTCTGAAACTGTTCCACAAGAACACTTTGAGAAACACATTAACTGGCCTCCCTGGTTCGTTTATTTACCGGCGCTGCAGCCATGGAGCCTCACGGTTCCAATTGGCTCCGTTTTGTCCTTTGAAGCCAAGGGGAGCCACGGGAAGTGGCGTAGACCAGGCCACCGCTTTCCACTGCTCCGTTTGACTGCAAAGAGCAAAACGGAACCAGTGGGAGCCGCAAGGCTCTGTGGTCACGGCACTGGTAAATAAACAAACCTGGGCGGCCAGTTAACGTGTTTCTCAAAGTGTTCTCGCAGACCACTTTCAGAAACACTGATTTAGATGGTGCTTGGTCCTGCCATGAGGAAAAGAGATTGGAGATGATGACCTCTCAAGGTCCCTTCAAGTTCTAGTGTTCTATGATTCTGTGATTATAGGCATTGTGTCTGTTTTTCATGTAGGCATTGATTAAGCTGTTCAATTCTACAATTTATGGAAAGGGTTAAAGAAACAAAATAATCAATACCAGAACATTTCAGGTGCATTTAAAATAGAATTAGAAATCACTGATTAAGCTCTGAGAAACCTATGTGTATAAATCTATGTCCATCCCCACTGGACAAGGGAAAGGAGCCATCTCTTATTAGTAAATGTAGAGGAAACGTGTGAAAATGCCAGGGAAAATATTCAGATCACAACTATAGAGAAGCAAACTCCAGAGAATGTGCCCAGAGGGAAAAGATGTACATTGAAATGATGCAAAAAGTAGTATTAATCAGGGAAATGTACCTCTCAGAACATAAGGTGAAAAGCAGGAAAGGAAGCAAATTGTCAGCATCACTGACAATGACATCAGCTTACATTCTGTCATAGGGGAGATGAATAAAACCCTAACAATTGAACATATCATTTAACATATCATTTTATAATATATAACATATATTATTATATGTTATAGAACATATAAAATGATATATATATAACATTAATTATTATATATATATTGTTATATAATATATAACATATTTTATAATATATTTTCTTTCAATCTTCCTCAAGACAATTAGAACACTGTGGGTACAACTGAAGTAACTGATGATAATAGCTGTATATCATGACCTGTTCTTACAGGTCTTTTTTTTTATTTATTTATTGTCAGGGGTTTATTTTTCCATTTTGGGCCCATTGAAGTAAATGAGCACTCCCATTTATTTCAGTGGAATTTGCATTAGGCTCTTTATCATTTAGATGGTTCCATTTTTATTTTTATTTTTATTTTTTCCTATTGTTTCTTGTTTGTTTTTTGTTTTTGGTTTTGTTGTTGGGTTTTTTTTGTTTTTGTTTTTTCCAGAATCGTGAAAAACCAACCTTTGATGGAAATCATGTGGCACCTGATAGCCTATTGGTAAGGAAAAAAATGCATTAGAACAAATGACTCTGTCTTCCTATTTATGAATAAAGGCTCATTAGAGTTAAATAATGACATAATAAAGTCTACATCATCATCGCAAATATAACAGTAGTATGAATATAAAATGTAATAAAATATAACAATAATGTGACTTGTTGGCTTGGTGGTATTTTTATACTTTTTCTTCTTTTCAGCTTACCGATGGCACAAGCAGGTTGATGCTAGATTCACATTATAAGCCTGAATTATAACTCCTCCCTGTTACTTACACCCAAAAAGAAACAAATTCCATTTAAATTGTACATGTCATGTATAAATGTCTCAAGCTCAATTATTCTGGAATGTTTAGGATAAAATCCAAATAAGCAGTTTAAAATTATGAGACTGTAAATTCCCTGTTGCACCTGTTTAAGGCCAAGAAATTGTTTGTTCTTGTCCTCTGCATGATTTTGACAATTGTAGGAAAAAACATGTGATTATTGTAAAGACACCCCAGCCCCTCTATGCTTGGTAAAAGGGCTAGATTGGCACAACCTACCTCTTGCACAAAGTTTTTATCAGTGGCTCTCAAAGCGCCTTACAAGGGACAAGTGTCATTATTCCCATTTTACAGATGAGGAAATTGATGCCTCGGTGCTGCCTTTTGGAGGTTGTTCCCACAGAAGCACTGTGAAGTATAGCTGCGAGTCTGGGCTTTGAGGATCCCTTTGCATAGGGGAAGGTGTGGGGGCACAGCACATAGCATTGTGGAGTTTCAGAGCAGTCTTGTGACCCAGAGAGCAACCCTGGAGGCTGCTATAACTTTAGGCCTCCAGACCCCCACCTCTTGCTGGACCGTCAGTTTCATGCTAAGCCTCTAGGGGAATGTCCACACTTCACATTGGGGTTGAGATTCCAAGCTTAAGGACCCAAACCCAGCCAGTGGAGCGGGAACATTTTTAAGAGTGGGGTTGCTGACATCCCACCTTTACCCTGTCCTGTCCTCTCCCCCACTCAGGCCAATAGCAAAATCCATGCGTGAGGAGCCAGACGTTGGGACCCAGGGCATCAGAGCCCCCAGTGTGGGGTGCCAAATCAGAGCTCATTGATGTGTAGGGCCAGCAGCAAAGCCCAGGTGCATGGAGCAGCAGCAGAGTCCCCAGAGTGAAGGGCAGCAGCTGGTTTCCTGGGTCTGGGGCTGGCAATAGACCCTATGGTGCATGGAGAAGCAGCTGGGATCCTGGATGCAAGGCTGGGAGCTCAGGGATAGTACGTCATACCCTAAACCCCAAGTTCCCACACCTATGAATCTAGATTAGTTCTGATGCAGCTGGTGCGATAAGATAGAATGTAGTCATAGCAGTCAAGTAGTGGAGCAAGGTGGGGCCAGATATTCCAAAAACCTACCTAGGATCTCTGATGGGGAAACACTTTGGGCAGCTAATTGCTCCCACCACTGAAGCTACCTCCTATTTTTTTAGCACGCTGTCTTCATAAGAGCTAGCACAGATTTGTCTCTTCTAACAGGGAATCATACCTACAGCTCGAAGTGTAGCCAGACCCTTAAAAGCAGTAGCGCAGAATCTCATCCTCTATATATCTTAAAAATATATCAAATAATGAGGAGTACAGGATCTTTTGAAAAAGGTTGGGTTTTTTTGAAAGAGCCACATCTAGACAGCAGTTTCACTTTCGAAATACCCTTTTTCAGAAAAACGCTGTGCGCGATTATGCAACTGAAGCGTGGGATATTTAAATCCCCTCTTCATTTGCAATTTCAATCTGCCTAATTTACATCCCTCTTTTGAAAGAGGGATGTAGTTTAGACATGCCCTTATTGTCTCACGGACCTTCTCCAGAGTAAAAGTATTACCCTAGCAAAAGACTTGTTAGTAGAACTGTTAAAGATGATTTGATTGATTGGGATGTATCTGCCAAATTAGATGGATAAAATGATTTATAGTATAATACTGCACAAAACTTTTTGGAGTTCTGCAACAAGCAGAGCTGTGGGTTTCAATATGCCAGGGTAAAATAGTTTTCCTCTCTCTGTCACTGGTTAATGACTCCATGGGGCTTGTCTACCTTATGGAGAAGATCGAACCTCTGGAGGTTGATCTTCTAGCATTTGATTTAGCGGATCTAGTGTTGACCACGAAATTAAATGCTGAGAGCATTGTGTACTCATTCTGTGAGGAGTAAGGGAAGCTGATGGGCCTCCCGCAGTATAGACGCTGCAACAGCTCAGCTTAAGCTAAATCAAATCCAGCTATGCATTTTGCATAGCTGGATGGCATGATTTAAGCTGACCTGCCTGGTCTGGTGTAGACCAGGCTGTAGAGACATATATTTTATCCATTTGTTGAGTTACAGCCACAGAAAGAAGTGGTAGCTAGCTGCTTGATCTTTTAATGTTTCTTTCTCATTTAGAACATTGTCGTTTGGAAAGCTACTTGTGTTTCTTCAATTAAAACCCTGTCATATTCTGTGAAATATCTTTCTAAATCCCAGTCACCCAGTACACACAAGTTATTTCCTCATGCCGCAGGTATTTTTGACCTTTTGCATAAGCTGTAGGAGCTTTGAACTTCAGTCTGTATGGGTAATGAAGGCAGCCAGCCAGACTCCAACATCATTTCAGGGACTGATGTAATACTTTTCAGCACATTTCAGATGGAATGAAGTATGTAGAACGCCTACCCTGTTCTTTCATGTTCAAGTTAAGGGGCAGTAGATATCTTGACATTTTTTAACCTATTGAATTGGTGTGTCATACTTGTGCAGTATCTGATTGTGTTTAAGATAGACATGTCTTGTCATAACAGTGAGTAGTCCTGTGGCAACTTAGGGCATGTCTATATTAAGGAGTTATTTTGAAGTAACAAGATGAGTGTCCACACTACCAAGCCTGTTGTTTTAAAAAAAAATTGACTTATTATTTTGAAATAACAACTCCTGCTTGTGAAGAGGAATAGGCTTATTTCAAAATAGTTATTTCGGGAGTTATTATTTTGAAACAACTTATTTCAAAGTGCCCTGGTAGTGTAGACATAGCCTTAAAGACTAACAAAAATATACATAGTATCATGAGCTTTCATGGGTAAAAGCCACTTCATTAGATGAATTGTAATGAAACACCATATCTAAATCCTTATTCTGTGGGATCTGAATTTGGCAGCTTGACTTAAGTGATTCTAATGAAACTCCAAATTCAAATAACCCAAACTAAAGAAAAATTCACACTCATATCTATATTTGGGTATAAGCGCTAATTAGATTTTATAATTTGTGTGCTAAAGTGGACTTGCTTGGAGTTTTGAACTAATATAGCATGTGTCCTTACAAGCAGGCAATCTGTAAAATCTATGTAATTTAGTCAGATTATTTATTATCATGATATGTACAAGAAGGGAACTGTGCATTATTCATCTTGTGTCACCTAGTGATACATTTTTGGTATGAGCCTATTGAGGATGTAGGTACTACTGTTCAGTCACTCTTTTCAATGCAGGTTTGTATTACCATTCAGTAAGACTAGATACATTGGGAATAACTCTGGACTAGAAAGGAATGAGTCAAATTTCATTGTTGTGCAAAGTAAAACTGACAGGCTGTGTCTAGACTGGCAAGTTTTTCGGAAAATCATGCCACTGTAGACGTAGCCGTGGGCTGTGTCTACACTGGCAAGTTATTCCGGAAAATCAGCCGCTTTTCCGGAAAAACTTGTGAGCTGTCTACACGGGCCACTTGAATTTCCAGAAAAGCACTGACGATCTCATGTAAAATCGTCAGTGCTTTTCCGGAAAAACTATGCTGCTCCCGTTCGGGCAAAAGTATTTTTCTGGAAAACTGTTCCGGAAAAGGGCCGGTGTAGACAGCACAGTAGTGTTTTCCGCAAAAAAGCCCCGATTGCAAAAATGACGATCGGGGCTTTTTTGTGGAAAAGTGCGTCTAGATTGGCCACGGACGCTTTTATGGAAAAAGTGCTTTTCCGGAAAAGCGTCCTGCCAATCTAGACGCGCTTTTCCGAAAATGCATTTAACGGAAAACTTTTCCGTTAAAAGCATTTCCGGAAAATCAAGCCAGTGTAGACGTAGCCTACAGTGTGCACTGGCAGATGTTGATCTAATTTCAGATAAGCTAGTATAGTACTTCTGTGATTGTTTAAATCCATGAGAAAAAGGGGGGGAAAGCTGCAGGAAAATATTATTAGACTAAATAGAAAAATTACCATAATAATTGGCAACATTTTTATTAATTCTTGAACTGGCCAGATGATGCAGCATGATAATTGAAAACTTGCTCTATGTCTTTTTTTTAGGAAAGTCCATTACAAATGTAACATCCACAACTTTATTTCTTTGTGGTATGGAATGTTGAATTAGCACGTAACATTTGTCCAAGAAAACAAATTGTTAAGAACTTTAAACTTGTAAACTCTCGCAGGCTCAGAAACTCAGAGAAACCTGTTGTTTGAGATGCACAGAACTTATTAAAATACAAAAGGTTTTAATTTTTTCAGCATAGTGGCACAGAATATATATTCAAATAGATAATGGAGGATAAATTTATACTGAATCAGATCTGTATTCTTTCCCCTCACTTATTTACTTGTAACCAGGGGTAACTGGCGAGGGAGGATGTAGGGGTCCACAGGCCACATGACCTCTCACAGCCTGGGGAAGGGCCAGGACAACATCTCCCCACCCTTGCTCTGCCCCCTCTCCTCCTTTGCCCCACCTTTGCTCTGCCACCACTCTTCCTCGTCTCCAAAGCGAGGCAACTCAGGGGAATAGCAGGGCTGATGGCTGTCGATCTCCCTCCCTCCCCACCCTGCACCCATTGCCAGTGGCAGGAGAAGTGCCGCAAAGGCAGCCCGAGCTAACTCTGCTTCTCCAACCTCATTGGTTAGTTTCCAGCTGGTGAGTACAAGGACAGTCCCACTTCTCCCCTGAGTGACTCGGTTGGGGTAGCAAAGCAAGCTGGTGCTATATTTCTGTACCTCCCCTGTTGCTGCATGTTGGACCCTTGCTGAAGGTGCCAGGTCTCCCTTAAGTTCTCCCACAGGCTGCTGGCCAGCCCCCTGACCCTCCCTCCCATGGTGTTTGGAGGCACATGCTCCCTCATGTATCTCCCCCCATGAGTCACCCACATGATGATGGTGTGACACCAATTTGAAAACAAAGGGGCATATTTTATATTTATGCTTATTTCTCAGAGAAATCATTAACTAATTATAGATACGTAGCTGGCTCATAGACTTGCCCTGTTAAACTTTTATTCCTTTCTCTAGTATGTTCTGTTGTCTTCTTCCTTGGACATATTCAGGACCTTGCTATGAAAGAAATAAAGGAATAAAAGTATTGTTCTCTTACTGACACTGAACCAGAATTGCTGTCTTTATAAAATCCTAGGTGCTGAAGACAGTAGACATCTCTGTTGGTTCATACTATTCAAGCTGTAAATAGAAAGTGATGAGAATAAGTTAATTGCTTTTTAGTGGAATGGGTAATAGGAGATCATGTTTGGAGTTTGAATTTCACCAAAATCTCCCAAATAGCAATATAAAAACTTGTGTTTTGTTGTCATTTCTTCATAAAACTTTTCACATTTTGCTCCTTATGGAGTTAGAATTATCTAATTTAACCTGCCAATTTCCTTGTTCATGTACTTAACTAGCCGATTAGCCCGTCATAAGATGGGATTTTCAGGTCTTCTCTCATGAGCTCTCTCACTCTGTCTCTTTCTCTCTTCCTACTGCCTCCACCCCTCTCTCTCAGCTCTCCTCAGCCTCCTGCCTCTCTATCCATCTCTTTCTTTCTCTTCCCCCCCCCCTGCCTGTCTCTCCCCTTCCCCTTCCTTCCTGCCATGGCACTTGTCTGAGTGCTGCCTGCTCAGCCGGGCTGCCGCGAGGGAAGGTGGCGGAATGGTGACGTACATGGCTGCGCTCAGCTGGGCCCCGGCGAGGAAGCAAGCAGCGGCAAGCGGCCCGTGGCTGAACCTCA